TGTCGGAGTGCATTTGACTCTTGTCAACCTTGGACGATCCTCCAACTTTGGCAAGAGGTTTTATCGGGGGCGTATCGTAGTAAACGGATGTTTTGTCCACGTTGATAATGTCACATGGCGCAGTGTCACGAAAGTTGTCCCAAAATGCAGCAGCAAATTTCGCCTGGGTCTCGGTAAGAACCGCTTGAGGGACTTTTGTGAAGCAGGGCACTTGCTGCGAAAACTGTAGCGGGCTGAGAACCGTTGAAGTCGAAGCAGGCTGTGATAAACTCGACTTTTGGATGTCTTCGTAGTCAAGTAGTCATTAAATCAATCAATGTGGTGATTCCTTATGAACGTCATGTGGTGACCATGTGTCTGGTAGTGTTCCTCTTCGCGGACCGTATACATAAAATACAGCAGTTCCTATGCAAATGGAAGGGTGTCATGGTGACATTGACCGCCCAGCGTGTACTTCATTAGTTGAATGGTTTGTTCATGGTGGAGTCCTTTCGGCTCAACCAGTTGCGCCACGATTTCCAGTCGATATTTTGAGCATGGCGTACCCTCTGGATGACATCGTGCTTGGGTCGAATCACTCGATGTACTTCTTACGCTTGGCGTTGGTGTATTTGGAGTAAGCCATGGCTCGACGTTGATTTGAAAGACGCGGTTTAACGGGACATTTAAACCAGCTAATAATTTCGAGTAACCAGTCAAAAAACATTTTACGCCTGTATAATGACGATAAATTACCTTGAGTTTCTGGTATAGGTTTTCAACATGCATGAGTGCTTTTGGAAAACAAAATATGTTGAACGTCAGTGAAAAATAGTTTATTCTGACCTTGCGTTTGGTGAGGCCCATTAGGATACCACAACGGGCATGCTGAGGTTCCAATGCACACTGACTATATGGCATAACGTACATCAAGGTCATGGAATCAACCCCTACCACACGGGCTTCGAATGGGAGCTCTACGGCGTGAGCTATTTTTCTAATAGTTTCTGAAGTTGTTGCACTATTGAATGTTCCAACGTAGGACGGTTTGCATGGCATAAAGTGATTTTATAGTATGATTGCGACATATAACGAGGATGACATGAGCAGGTTAATGCATTGACTTGATAGCATTTCCAAGATGAATGATGCATGATATCGCGTACTAGGCCGTAGAAGAATTTGTCACCCCATTAGCTATAAGTACTACAATTTCTTCTTGCAGATGGATTGCTCACGACAAAATTAAAATAACAAAATTGAGGCGAAGTACCACTGGGGACATTTTCCCGTCGATACCTGTCGGGCTCACACGAGGGGGTGGTTTGTTTTACTGAATTCTCACGAACAGCTTTTTTAACGGAACGCGGGTCCTCTCATCCGGACAGTACTTCTTTCCGTTATGCCCGTGGCAGGGATGCATCAGTCGGAAAGACCCACTGGTGCAGAGAATGCGCAGGCGCCGTTAGTCTAGTGTCAAAAAGAATTTTATTAGCATACAATCAGGCAATAATGATATTGCCGAAGCTCATCCCTGTCCAAAAGCCAGTGCAGCGACATGCAGCTGGGCGGACCAATTTTGTT